TCTATTTCATAGCGCTTACATGCAATCTGAAACTCTTGAACCCAGATGCTATTTGGCAAAGTTTTGTTATGAAAAAACATACCAACTACACAATATTCATAGGTTGGTATTAGTGAAATTTTTGGTGTGAGAGATCATTGGAAAGAGTTGTTTAAAGTTAATAAGTTATTACATTTTAATTAATTAATTAATATATATTTTAATTATTGTTATAAATATCTTGAAGTCCATTCTAATTGTTTCTAAAGTTGTTCTATTATAATTGAGGATTCTCATAATTTTATTTTAGTATTTTTTAATTCAATTTTAGTTTCTTCTAATTGAAGAGTAATTGCTTGAGCAGTATGATTATTGATATTTAATCCTTCGAAAATTAAAGGAAGCTCCGCTTTGATAAAATTTCCAGAATTGGTTGCTAATTCTTTATCAATATCATCAGCCTTTCTTTTTCCTAACTTTATTAATATATTTAATTTTTTGTTTGCAATATACTGTACTTTGAAATCTTTAAATATATCATAGTAATTAGCTACAAAACTGCGCAACTATTTAATATTTTCTGTATATGTAAGTCCTAATATATATGGAACAGATATTCTTCTAATATAATTATATGTTTTTTTAATATATGCATAAAAACTTAAAAGATTATCTGAATGTGATTCACAAACTTCAAATTTAGTAAAATAGGAATTTTTAGCATAATCAGCTTATTGAAATAAGATTTCGTGTTTATCAAGACACCACCCAAGGCTTAACCGAAAATAGGCACTAGCAAGAAATGTATATATTGTATACCCTAGAATAAGAGGAACACAAACTTGATTATTTTCATCTTTTGGTAAGTTTTTGATGTTTAGTAACCAATATAAGGACTGTTTTTTATTAGAATTATGCTGAATAGTTGCATGTTAAGATAATAATGAAAGAAATTAATCTTGTTCACTAACAAATATAGTTCTATGTGATCGTTCATATTTTTTTCGTTGAGGATTTATTGCTAAAAGTCATGTTACCCAATTACGAT